TTAACCTATCTGAGTCTCAGTTTCCTCAAGTGTAAAATTGGGGGAAGGGGCAGGTTGGCCTTTAAGATTGAAGCTTTAGGTCTTCTATCTTAAGGAAAGGGGGCTATGTTCTCTACTCCTTTTGTTTTCCACTCTCCAGTGTTTGTTGAGTGAGTGAAAGATCTAATAAATGGTGAAAGGAATGAAGCTTTTTAATGCGCATGGTGAATGAGAGTTGTGGTACACATATAGCAACAGATTCCACATTATATAACTATTCTTCATAAACTCAGAAATGTTTGCATAAACAAATTATTTTGTCTCCAAATAAATGAAACCCTCTGAACATGTCATAAATAGTTTAACTTCTCTCCAAATAACTTGAAAGTAAATGACAACTCATTTATTTAAGGTTGTGGCTTTTACTTTTTATCCTCCAGGTCTGGTCCTAGCACTCTGAGGTTAGCAGGTTATCAAGCGTCTAAAACAGAGATCAAAAACACTGTTTTGATATCATCAAAGTTAAAATCTTGGTTTTTACAAATATCCTTTGAACTCATTTTTAGTTGTTTTAGTGTAACCTATTTCCTTCCTGAAATATTTAGTGTAAATATTAAGTGTTTATGAATGGAAAAAAAAATTATCTACACCAGTGGCCCAGGTGACATCATGCCTGCTGTTCCACTGGCACGCATTTTTTCTGTCCAGAGGGTTTCTATTTAAAAGACATATAGAAAGTAAATATCTTTCTTGACTCACAGATACTCATCATAATGCTCTATAAAGTCTGCTATTAAGGCAATAAGGTTGGGACTAAATCATAGCCACTGTAGCTATACCAGGAGAGTCAAAAGAAAGGAATAGTCTACATTATGAAACTAAATTTTATTCTCTAAGTGATAAAAATTATGTTGGAACAGCTTGTGCCAATACTTGCTTTCACTTAAGCAGATATGAGGGACCAACACTGCAATGTGGTGTTGCCAAACTGCAATCCATGCATGACTTAAAATAATCCCACTTATCAGCCTTATGAGTATGTACACTAAATCCTATTATAACATTGCTCATTGTTACATAACTTTGGATACACAACAGATCAAATTATGGCCCTGAGATATGTCAACTATGTACAATAAAAGCCTATTTCTGCATCCCTAAACCAGCTTTAAAAAGAAGTTTTGCAGTTCCAAAAATGGTCCTTACACTCATATATTTTTGAATATACTCTTACTCCTAAAAGAATAGGGCAAAGATAATGAAATAAACATTCTTGTTTTTTTCTCATGCAGAACAAACTGTTATTCTTCCAAGACAGCTAGATGAGTGCCTCTTTTCAAGGTCGTTGCTGCTGATCTCCTAAAAATGAAACACCAAGACATAACAAAAACACCACCACCTAACTTCCTAAACAAGTAACACATTTCTAGGACTCAAAACTGAATTAATTGTTTAGGTTAGGTCTTTGAGAAGAAAACACTAAAATATTTCACTCTATCAATTAAGGAAGCTGTAAATGTTGATACTATTCATCATCAAATGTTCTATCCTCTCCCCAACCTTATTTGTTCAATTTTGCAATAAAATTCAACTCAGATGAACTAGTATTATTGAGAAGCAGTCTGGAAGAGTAGGGGAAAAAACCCCAGAGGCTGGAGCAGGTATCAAAAGACCTGCATTCAACTCGTAGCTCCTATTTCTCCTACCTGTGTGATAGTCAACAAATAGAAATTTCTCTGAGCTTCAATTTTCTCATCTGTAAAACTGGTGTACTACTACTGACCTTCTAGGGTTGTGGGAAACAGCTTTAAAATTCCTAAAACACTAGCTTTGCCATTTACTACATGTATGACCTTGGGTAAGTCAAGTCACAATCTCTCTGGGCCTCAGTTTCCTCATCTGGAAAACGAGGGGGTTGAACTAAATGACCTCTAAGTTCTTTTCCAACTCTAAACCTATGACTCTTTACAAACGTGAGCTGTTACTTAAATTATTATTGTTATTATAGTAATTGTAATCTCCTCATTCAAGCTCTCAAATCTAAGATTTGATGTTAAATTGCCTTCATCCTTTATTAGGGTCCTTGACACTCTCAACTTGTATAATACTTTACAGCAACTGAAATAGTAGCCGTAAGAAATGCATCACAGTCCATCAGTCATCTGTAGTGACATGTTTAATTTAAAGCCAAATTATAAATGTTTACATAGTCACTGCTAACTTCCTCCCAGAAAGCTGTTGTTCAAAAAAAAAAAAGTCTAGTTAATGGATTGGATGGACATAGATCTAGAGATTTATTTAGAAGCATGTTTAAGAGCCTTAAACACACCAGCATAGTAAGTTTTGTAAGCTTTGGTTCACCCATCTCTTGCACTTAAAAAGTAACCCTTAATCTGTATTTCATGACTTGAAAAGTAAAGAAAAAAATAGTTTAAATTGACTGTTATTTGAATACCAACTATATGTATACTGTGGTACACATAGTTCCAACATTTAAAAAGGTAATTTGATATTGGGGGGCGGGGTTTGGGAACAGTGATTTTACTGATATAGGGAATTTTAGGCCAAAATACATCAATCAGTCCACAAGCACTTACCAAGCACTTCCTTTGTACCAGGCATTGTGGTAAACTATGGGTTTACAAAGAAAGACAAAACAAAAAGAAACATCCCAAAGCCCCATCCCAGTCCTCAGGGAGCTTACATTCTAATGGGAGGGCCAACATGTAATTTACAAGTTATATAAAAAGTAGAGGAAGGTGGTCATCTGAATGTGGGATAAATGCATTAACAGGTGATGAGGAATGGGATTAAAAGGTTTCCTGCAGAAGGTAGAATCTGGACTAAGCTTTGGAGGAAGCCAGGGAAACTAAGAGGTGGGGGTAAGAAGGCAGAGCATTCCAGACATGGGGGATAGCCAGTACAAATGCACAGAGATCAGAGATGGAGTATTATGTTCAAGGATCAGCAAATAGGTCAGTGTGGCTGGATTGTAAAACATGTAGAGGACACTAATTTGAAAGAAGACTGGAAACGAAGGAGGTGGCCAAGTTGTTAACAGCTTTAAATGCCAAAGATCATTATATTTGATCCCAGAGATGAGAGTGAGTCACTGAAACATCCTAGGAAGGTAAAAGGGATGAGGGGTGACATGATCAGACCTACACTATAGAAAAATCACCTTACTGAAAAATCACAGGGGATCATCTAATGTTCTGTAATACATGACCTCAGAGAGTTGCTGGAGTACTTGGAAAGTAGGTGACTTGACATTCAGCCTGAATGCTGCCAAAGGTGAGACTTGAACCTAGGTCTTCCTGACTAAATCAGGCTCTCAGTCCACTGAGCCATGATGCCTCTCAAATTAACATATTCATTTTCACAATGAATTGCTAATAATTCTTAATTAGCACCACGAATTAATGCTTATAATCTTGCCAACAACTGTCACACGGCACTGTGAAAACTGCCATATTCTGGTTTATTTTTAGTTTTCTTTCTGTTTTATATAAGATGGTCCAGAAGGGCTCACTGATCAGGTTCTTTTAGAGTCACTACTCTTAGATAATAGCAACATTACTTGTCAGGTGGAGAATGAGGAAGAATCAAAGGAAACTGAGGCAAAAAAATATGACAGCTTGTGTATAAAAAGCATCCCCTGGGGTCAAATTGCCACAGTGTAGTCTTTCCCTTCTTTCATTCATTCAGATTAGACAGCTAATTAAGAAAGATTAACAAATCATAGTTGCACACGTCTCAGAGGATTGCTTACTACTTTAATCTGGTGGATTCTCAGCCTCAAGGATAAACTAGGTACGGATTAACTAGGTCAAATCATGCATGGCACCCAGATCAGTCAAAAAGAACAGGCTAAGAGAGGAGAGTGGATAGACAACAGTTATTGAATCAATCATAAATGCTAAAGCTAAAGCAAGTCAACTGGCTTCATAAAACTAAAGGGGTAGGGAAGAACAAGGGTATTCATCACTTTGACTCAGAGATTCTTAACCTGATTTGTACCATGGGCCCCTTTGGCAGTCTGGTGGGGGAAAAAAAAGACAAAGACAAAAACAAAAAAAGATTCAGTCAATAAACATTTAAGCGCCTACTATGTTCGAGGCATTGTGCTAAGCACAGTGAAACCTATGGACATCTTCTCTGAATGTTTTTGAAGAATTGAAGGAAATGCTGAATTTCAGGTAGAGTTTAGTGAAAATAACGATATAATTTTTCACCCAACCCTCTGAAATCTATCTTAAGAACCCTGGAGAGTAAGTAGTCGGAATGGGGTTCATGGACCTAAGGTTAAGAACCCCTGCTCTAATTTATCAAAAAGAAGCACAGTCTGCCTACTACCACCTTTATGTTTCTTTCACCAAGGAATGCCACCACTTTAAATGCGGTTTAGCTAACGTATGACTATGAGTGCCAAAATCATTTGATTCCTGCCCCATGGGGGCTTTTTACTAAATCATTTGATACCTGCTCCATGGGGGCTCCCTGTCTATCACACACACACACACACACACACACACACACACACACACACACATACATACAGAACAAGCCTGTCCTTGCGCCCAAGTGCTTGGGGCTGTGACATTTCTCAGAAGGCCCGCAGCCAGGGAATCGGAATTAAACTGAGAGCTAATTAGTAGGCAGACTGACCACGAACAAACAGGCAGACTCGTTTTGGTTTTATTCTTTTGGATTGTTCATTTGTGGGGCTGGCGGAGAGCGATGAGAAACACTCGTCCCACAGGAGCTCTTTTCGTAAAGCCGCGCGGGTGTCTGGGACCCCAGGATTAAGGGCTGAGGTTTGCACGCGGGCTGCCTGGCACAGGATTTGGAGAGGTGTCGGCGGCTAATCCAACTTCCTTCCTCCCTCCATCCCTTCAATCCTCCTCGGACCCTCAGCCTCAGGGGTATCTCGAGCTCTGGGTGGCGGCCGGGGCCAGCACCCAGCTAAACTCGCCGAGAAAAGTTGGGGTTTGCCCCGGGCCGGCGGCCGCTCCACTCACCTAGTTTCTCCGCGCGCCCGGCCAGCGGCGCCGCGACCCCGAGCAGCAGCAGCAGCAGCAGGAGCAGCAGCAAAAGCAGAGACCTCAGCGTCGGCAGCAGCAGAGGGGCGAGCGGCGGAGGACGCGCTAGGCTCCGAGGCGCGAGGTCAAGGCTGCCCCCCCAGATCATGGCTCCGCCGGCGGAGGACGCCAACTTTCTAGGCACTCCCCCTTCGACAGGCAGCCTGCACTTTCCTCCTGGCCAGCAGCTTCAGCTGGCAGCTCTGGCCTCCAGCTGAGCGTCCCTTGCTCTCCCCCCCTTCTCTTTGGGCGGGAGTTCGCGGACGGTCGGCCAGCTCAGCAGGACAGGCTGAATCGGATCCCGCGCCACCTCAGCCGTTTATCCCTTACAGAGCAAACTCCCCCAAGCAGGCCGGCAGCCTAGTCTCTCTCCTCTAGCTTCTCATTGCCCCAAAGGAGGTGGGGGGCGGGCAAACCCCGACATTCCCATTGGAGCCTCCCCTCTGCCCAGCCCGCGCTAGGGGTGCCTCCCTCCCGTGGCCACGCCTTCTTCAGGGCAGGAACATAAAAAGGAGGAAGTCGCTCTCCTAGGTCCGGCAAGGATGCTAGCTGTCTGTCTGTCTGTCTGTCTGTCTGTCTGTCTCTGTCTCTGTCTCTGTCTCTGTCTCTCTGTCTCTCTCTCTCTCTCTCTCTCTCTCTGTCTCTGTCTCTGTCTCTCTCTCTCTCTCTCCCTCCCCCTCCCCCACCTTTCTCTTCCTTTCTTTCTCCTTTCAATCCTTTCTCTCTGTTTCTCGTTTCTTTCTTCTCCCCGCTTATATGCTCTCCCCTTCCCTTTGCTCGCTTCTTTCTCCTCTCCGCTTTTCTTCATGTTTCCCTGTCTCCCCTTCCCCATTTTTCCTGCCCTTTTCCAGAAACAATATAGCACAGCTGAGAGATCAGTGAACCTGGAAGTAAAGAACGTGTTCAAATATGGGCCCTCATGTATTTAACTGTTTGTGTGACCTTGGTTAAGTTCCATAATCCTTCTGGGTCTCAATTTCCTCATCTATAAAATGAGGGGGGTTGGACAAAATGATTTCTAAGGTCCCTTCCATCTCCAAATATATGATCTTCACCACTCTTTTCCTCTTCTCCTTCTCTTTCCTCTATCACTCCACCCTTTCTTACCACTTTCCCCCTTCATCTTTTATTTTCCCGTTGCTGTCCCTCAGATGTGCAGTACTCTGAAACAAGCAACAACCTATTGTTACCTGTAAGACTATATGACCTTAAGACCCCATAAGGAAACAGCTGCTTTTGTTTCTAGGGCAAAAGTGTTCAAGTGCTGGTGTTTCAGAGAGTGTGCACAGCACCCTCCCAAAGACATGGTTCTGTGAGCCCCTCCATTGGAGCTATGTATACCAGAATACTTAATGATTTGAAAGGATGATGATTAGAACCAAAGTTCTACTTCCTCTATGAAGCTTTACTTGGCTACTACAGCCCCCGACTGATACTTTTTTTTCTGAACAACTAATGCACTTATGGTCTGTGCCACACAGTTTAGCACTTAATTATATGCTGCTTTGTTTGAGTTTTTTAATTATTACATGTGTTTTAGTGTTGTCCCTACAATTAGACTTTAAGCTTATGTATGGGGACAATAGAACCACGATAAACATTTTTAAATGTTTGCTTTGTGAAACATTTTTGTGGAATCTTAGAACTAGACCTTAGATCATAAACCTCTCTTTCAGTTTTGGTATTACAAGTCATACCCTACTCAGATTTTCCTTCCTTGGATACAGTCTACCTTAGATGAGCCTCTAGGCTCTTGACTTCTCTCTAACCATTGTTCAGTCAGGTCTGACTCTTCATGATCCCTTTTGGGGTTTTCTTGGCAAAGATATTGGAGTGGTCTGCCATTTCCTTCTCCAGCTCATTTTGCAGATGAGGAACTGAAGCAAAGAGGGTTGAGTTACTTGCCCAGAGTCACACAGCTACTAAGTGTTTGAGGCCAGATTTGAATTTAGGAAGATGAGTCTTCCTGACTCCAGGCCCCACACTCTCTCTACTTCACCACTTTAACCATATAATCACCTTAAAGTTTACAAAGTGCTTTACACACATTGTCTAATTTGACACAACAACCTGCTGAGTGTGTTCCCCATTTTTATGTAAAATGATTTGTGTAGAATAATCCCCATTTTACAGAGGCTCAGAGAGCTTAAGTGACTTGCCCATGGTCCTATATCTGGTAAGCAGGATTTGTCTTTTATATACCCTTAGTCTAACACTGTATTGCCATAGTAAATGAGCTTAATGAATGCTCATTAAATCCAAATGAATTGATTCCAGGTCTAACCTAAGTCCAAGTACTCTTTCTCCATCAACTCAATAATAATAATGGATGTCTCTCTCTTGAGTTCAGAGCCTTCAAATGCTAGTTCTTTAGTAAAGTATTACCCAAATTAACAAAATCACTTCTTCCTGAACACCACAGGAATGCACCAAATCACTAAATCCTAACCTCTTCTCTTACTGCTCCCATCTTAAAGCTTTTATCTAAATATAGATCAAGGAATTGGTAGGTTCATTTCTTTTGTGTAATCATGGCTTTCATTGAGGAGGCCATATAATTGTCTCAGGCTGGATGCAATCAGTGCAATACCCTCTGCTGATAGAAGCATCTGCAGTACTTGAGCACCTACAGGGAATCGTTCCATTTGGAAGAACACCTTTAGCGTGTTCTTAAACAGGGTCTCCCTGTTTTATACCTTACTTGAGGTTAATAATCCAATGGTCATTGAACATAATTGTCTGTTTGCATTTGTCAGACAATCAAACAATCTGAAGAAAGGTTTAGAACTAGAAGGAACCCTATAGGTCATTTAGTCTGATAGCTTCATTTTACATATATGGAAGCTGAGCCCTGGAAAAGTTAAGTGACTTATCCAAGGTCACACAGGGAATAAGTGCAGAGCCAAGATTTAAATCCAGGCCTTCTGACTTCAAATTCAGTCCTTTTCCCAATACACCATGCTGTCTTTCATCTTATTAACCTTATGAGTTTTTTTTTGTTGAAGGAACTCTTTTAAGATTACATTTTGCTCTACTGAGGCAAATACTTTACTTTGTAATGAACAAATAATAAACAATCAGAGATCTCATATTTTATGCACTTTTCAGTCAAATGTGTGACTATAAAGTTATTATCTACCATAGAAAATAATTTGCAGAATCCTTTTGGTTCCTTCTCAAGTCTTCAACAAGGTTATACTTGATATATGTGTATATCATTCTCATAGAGATTTTATAAAAGTGGGAAAGTAGGTGTGTAGGTTGGGAGTTACCAATATTTTCTTGATCATCTTCTTGAGGTAATATCATCCATGATTATTTCCATTCTTTTGGCATGTCCACCCAGAGGCATCTTGTAAAGTGATCCCTTAAGGCTTTTGAAGTGATCTGAAGGGAAATGGAAAGATACGCAAGTGGTTAAAAGCATTTTTTCCAATGATGACCTATGCACAAGAGGTGGTGGAAAGGATGTGAAGGAAATACAGATGATTGTGTGATATAAAACCAGGCATTGAAAGGGTTGCAATCAGTACTGATAGATGGAATACCCACATGATGATATTCTCAATTGAAGTCAGTCAACAAATATTTCTTAAGTACCTACCATGTGCCAGGCACTGGGGATACAAAAAGGAGGCATAAGATAGTCCCTGCCCTCAAGAAGCTCACAATTTAATGAGGGAGAAAAGAAGCAAAAAAAATTTGCAAACAAACTATATACAGGATAAATAGGAAATAATTAAAAGAGAGAAAGCACTAGAATTAAGAGAGGTTAAAAAGACTTCCTGTAGAAGGGATTTTAGTTGGAACTTAAAGGAAGCCACAGAAGGCAGTATGTGGAGATGAGGAAGGAGAGAATTCCAAGCATGGAGGACAGCCAGAGGAAATGCCCAGAGTCAAGGGGTGAAATGTCTTGCTTATGTAACAGCAAGGAGGCCATTGACACTGGATCTAATGGCAGAGATTAAGGTGTAAGAAGACTGGAAAGGTGGGGAGAAATGGTGTTAGGTTATTAAGGGCTTTGAACACCAAACAGGATTTTATATTTGCTCTTGGAAGCAATTAGGAGACACTGGAGTTTATTGCCAGAGGAGACTTCTGAGTTACATGGTAGGACCCATGTTTTAGGAAAATCACTTCAGTGGCTGAATTGAGGATGGATTGGAGAGACTCGCAGCAGGCTGACCCCACAGCAAGCTATTACAATAGCCCAGGCATGAGGTGATGAGGGCCTGTACCAGAGGAGAGAGGTGCAAAGGTGAAATCAACAGGCCTTGGTAACAGATTGAATATGAGGAGGAAAAGATAATGGGGAGTCAAGGGTGACACTTAGATTTCAAACCTGAGGGACTGAAAGGAAATGTTGCCTTTGATAGAATGAATATTCTAAGTAAGAATGTTATGCTACGTGATGTGTATGTGTGTGCATTTACTAAATGTTATCTCTATAAGCTTACGTATACAGCATTCCTGAGTAAATCAGCATAGATTGTCTGCACTATAGATTAGGATAATGGGGACAGAAATCATTTAGTTCAACCTTATCATTTCATAGATGGGAAAACTAATAATGAACAAAAAAAACATTTTTAAAAATACTCTGTGCAAAGCACTGTGTTAAGCTCTTGAGATGCTGATAGAAAAGTAAGACACTCTTTGTTCTCAAGGAACTCAGATTCTACTAGAGGAGCCTACACATGTGGAGGTTTTCTGTGTTTTTTAGAGCAGTGGCAGAGCAGATGGTAATGTCTCTTCTTTAATGTCATTTCCACTGATAAAGTGATGAGTGGTTTCTGATGCTGAATCACTTAACAGTACCAGAGACACTGATTGCAAGAACTTTCTTTTCTGGGTCTTCAATAGATGTGACTTCAGCACCTGCAGGAGCAGTTGCAAGGCTGCATCTGCACAAGGGTTGCTTTCCTGGATAATGACTGCAGTCAGTGGACTTGGAAGCATTGTTGCTGCTGATGCTCTTGGGTTAAGGGTCCTGGACTGTCTCCATAGAGGTCTGAGGGGAGGTGGTGGTCAAGATGGCAGTGATGATTTGACTGACTGGATACATGCTGCCTCTATGTGTCTCCTTCAGGATGTCTTAATGCTTTTGATAGACTGGTTTGCTTGCCCCATGGGAGGTACTTGGTTGGAAGTTGGTGAGTATGGCTCATCCCTTCTCCACAGAAGTTGTTTCCCTAAATGATAGTTGTGGGGGCTGGGCTGAGTGAAGGACTAGTGGTCTGGAAAATACTGCTGCTCCCAGGGCGCCTGTGTTTATCTGTCAAAAATATGACCCAGAGAGATGAAATGAGCTGCACGGAGCCAGTTAGTGTTAGAGCTTAGGCTAGGTCCCAGGCCTCCTGACTCCTAACCTTGTCCTCTATCCAGTACACAGTGTATCCTCCCCATGCATTGTACCTCTTTGTCCTGG